ATTAGTGAAGGAACAATTAGAGCATCATGTATATATAGTAAAAGAGCAGATATAATCCTTGCAATATTAAGTATGAGTTAATACACAAATATCCAGAATGATCTATGAAATTATTTCATTCTTGGATACTTTTTTCATGACCAATTAACTTTACATCTATAAAATGATTAGAGAAAAAATTATAATAAATTTATTTCAATCTATGAAATAATCAAACTCTGTTACATATAGCTCTTTTCATATGAAATTAAATCAACCTAATATACTTATTTACCTCCTTTTCATTAAAGAACGTTCTTCTGAATAACAGCCTGAAATCCATTTTGCTTCTTAACTGGAAGTAACTCCTTATCAACAAATCGTTTCTTCAGGAAATTCTGACCCAAGTACAATAAAGTTGTTTTTAACGGGCAGGGTAGTGGTTTCCCCACCTCCTTTTTTTCATCCCTCCCCCACCCAATTTTGCTCCTATAAATGGAAATCTTGATTTCTGCACCCTTTATTAGTTGCTTTGCCATGTGATAAACAGTCAAACAGCTCAAGAGAGTCATAGGATTGCCAGGGGAAGGGCTGTTCCTTTTAATAGTGTAAAATATTTCCTCCTCTTACGGGAATAGGAAGCATTCATTCCGATCAATGATTTAAAAATTACCAGCTTTCCAACCCACAGTCTCTTCCATGCAGCTGCAGATTCTATGCAATTCCAATTCTTAAGAAAAAGTATTAAGGAATCTCTTGAGTCAGAGAGGCAGGAAGAAACAACCACTCTAGAAATAAAACATAGTATTTGAATCTGCAAGGGACAAAAATCCAGATGCCCAATATTTTCTAAACAAGGCTAACAGCTCTGCAACAGTTCTTGTCACTTCTATCTCAACTTTAGAATGTGTATATCTATTGTTCCCAATTATCACTTCCTATGTGACCAGTTTAACAGCATGATCTGATTCTTAAACTAACATGCTGACTAAAGCAAGTATTTTTGATGCAAATAGGAACCCTGCAGCCCCAGTTCCAAGGATCAACAAAGTTAGAGAAGATCAAATTCAGCCTTCTTACGTATCTCTAAGCACAGAGAGGTTCCTCAGTTATTTATTTATATGAGATTTACTTTCAAAGGGAGAACAAACAAGGTTTGGTTTAAAAAGAGGTTCCAACAATTTTGTTCTTCAGAAGAAAAATATCAAGTGTCCTTCTTAAACCCTCCAGGCAAGATTCTGGAGTCCAGCTCATCACTTGAATTTGTCCACTACACTTTAGGCTCTCAAACAATCATTTTCCTTCAAATCCTGGAAGCTTAACTACAGTTATCAGAAGTCCAGACAGATAGCATGTCCACTGGTTCAGGAGTTCTGGGGTTGTAGTCCCAAACATCTGGAATGCACCAGTTACTCTATTTGTGCTTTAAAGCCATCTGCTAAAGTCAGAATGATCCTTCTCTAATTTCCCTACTCTAAGCAATCTCTTTGGCTCCTCTCTATTCACATTCACACCTTTTCTTCTGCTGATCTTGGTTTGCCTCCAAGTTTGTTACCCACAGAGTCACAATATTTTCCTCTCATCTAACTTGCCCCAGTACCCCAAGTGTTGGGTCAGTATGCTGCCATCTTCATGGCTGATTTTCTCCATCTTCCACAGTCCATTCTGCCAAATCGATCTTACTAGAGCAACCATTACTCCCACACTGCTCTACTATCTCTATAAATGCAGCAGGTGAAAGAACACCAAGCATCCAGATGCTACTTCACCAAGCCCATTCAGGTCACAGATTGGAACTCGCTGTTTGCTGAGCCCAAGAGTAAGGCTTAGTAAGTGATATAATCTAGTTTTAAACCTATAAAAATCCATATGGAAAAAAAAATTAACAGCCCACATCAAGGAAGCACAAACTGAACTAATATGGTTTCCTTACAGGGATAAATCCAGTCAGGATAATGCTGCAATCATATAACTAACAACAAGAAAAAGGCTACACCTTTCTCTCACTTTATCTTGATATGTATATATATTTAAAAACTAACCCATTCTTAAGGATGCAACAAAGTTTTCAGGTTTCACTAAATACTGACCATCCTATCCCCAATCATTTGTTTTTACTTGATAGCTACTGTCTTCTCCCACTACTATCACTTTTTCTACCCATGCTTGGCCACCTCTGCTGTGTCCACTTCTGCTTCCTTCTCCCTGGTCTTAATTTCATTCTTTGCAGCCATCACCAACATGCCCTGTAAAGTGCTCTGCCATGCAGTGGTTTGCATGGCAGAAGCCATAATTTGTTTTAATTTTAAAAACTTAAGCATAAGTAGCAGGCAATAGATGCTGTCTTTGAAAAGTACTGCTAATGAAAGCATTGAATCAGAGGTTAAAGATATATTTCTGATTAAATGCCTAAGAATGTGTTATTATCCTGTCTTTCATTTCATGTCTTGAGTAATCTACAGCCTCCTTGGTTTACCAAGCTCCATTTTATCTGAAAGAAGACATAAAGAAGGAATTTCTTGTACAGGTTTTTTTCCCCAAATCAGACAACCTGGACAGCTAAAAAACTGACATTCTTTGTGAAAGATCTGTAAACTCAGAACCATCCCAAACTGTATTTCTAAATAAACTTTAAATCATGATGAAAATACAGGAGAAAAACAGCATTTTTTCTTGCAGGTGAATAAAAGTTAAAGTGTAACTGCAGGATAAATTTATTTATTAAACAAATTTATGCAGCCACCCACCTATCAAAAGAAACTCTGGGTGGCATACAAGAAGAAAAACTTAATACAATTATCAAACAACACCACTCCCACAACAAAAAAGACAATGTTGAAGCCCCAATAAATTTCACATGAATAAATCACCCACACCGTTTATCAGCAGAGTTGGTGCACTCCAGGTTCTTTCAATTAAACAATGCCATCCATTGGAACCCCAAACTGCACCTTCTCTGTAACAGCACCTGCCCTCTGGAATGAGGTTCCCTCTGAGATTCAAATGCCCCCCCCCTACTGGAACTTCTAAGGGCGCTGAAGACATGGCTCTTCACCCAGGCCTTTGGTGAGGGTGAGTAAAGCCCTCTTTCTTCTCTTTCTTTGTTCCCATCTGGATTTGTTATCTCTGCCACCTTTGTTCCTTTCGTTTTGTGTTGTTTTTAAATGTTTTTAAGAATTTGTAAACCACCCAGAGTCACTGGGAGTCAGGTATAATGATAATAACAATAATTGACATTGACCAAGGAGCATAGGTGGGCATGGAATGTTGCAAGTACACCAGACAGTTGAAGAAGAAAAAAGGGCTTTGGAAGAGTATCCAAAATCCACTGAAGTTAGTACACCATGAATACCAAAGAGACCAAACTGGCCTAGAAGAAAGACCAAATGAAGAATAGAAAAGAGACATGGCAACGTACATGGCCAGTACACAAAAACACAAGCAGACAAAGCAGAGAACAAGACCTGGCAATGGCTAAGAGCAGGAAAGTTGAAGAAAGAGACAGAGGGGCTAATTCTGGCTGCACAAGACCAAGCCTTAAGAACAAATCCATACAAAGGCAGAATTATAAAGACAGCGACAGACAGCAAATGCCACCTCTGCAAAGAAGTTGAAGAAACAGTGGACCACCTAGTAGCTGCTGCAAGAAGGTTGCACAGACTGACTACAAACAATGGCATGACAAAGTAACAACAATGGTGCATTAGAATATCTGCAAGAAATACCACTTGCCTGCAAGCAAGAACTGGTGGGACCACAAAATAGACAAGGTAATAAAAATGGAAGAAACTGAAGTGCTCTAGGACTTTAGAATTCAAGCAGACAAGCATCTGCCACACAACACCCCAGACTTAACAATTGTTGATAAGAAAGACAAAAATGTCTGGATAGTGCACACTGCAATACCTGGAGACAGCAGAATAGAGCTGGAGAAAATCAGATAGTATCAATTGTAACAGAAGCCTTGGGTGCGATCCCAAAACATCTGGAAAACCACTTGAATACCATTGGCATTGACAAAACCACCATCAGTCAATTGCAAAAGGCAGCTTTACTTGGAACAGCTTACATCCTGCGACGACACCTTTAGTATAATTAAACAACAACATCTGCCTATCCTAGGTCCTTGGGAAGCATTTGATAGGTGGACAAAAATGCTAAATCCAGTCTAAACATCTGGCTGACTGTGTGACCAACCATAATAATAATAATAACACCAGCTCCATCAACATCTTGGCCCCAGTGCCTGGGGAAAAAGCCAGGTCTTGATTGCTTTCCTAAAGACCATCAGGGTTGGGTCCATCCATATCTCCAGAGGAAGGCTGTTCCATAAGGCAAGCACTGTGATAGAGAAGGTACACTTCAAAGCCCCACCAAGCAACACTGTTTCATCAAAGAGATCCACAGCATGCCCACCCCACCAGATCTAATGGTATGGGAAGAATGCATAACAATGTAAGTAGATATGCTCTAAAATTCTCCTTCTCCTTCTATCTTTCTATTTTGAGTTTAAAGAATTGAGTTTAAAGATTTTTTTAAACTGGCCTCTCCAAATAAAATGCCATGAAAACAATTATAACAAAAGCAGCATGGGCCTATAGATATGGTTCCAGAATAGTTCTTTTTCAGCCATTTTTCCAATAGCAAATCAGTGTAAAAAGCAATTGCTGTCAGTATTAGTATATATACTTTGAAATGGGCTTCAGTTGCCCACAGCTGAGATATATAACACTTTTCTTTTTCAATAAATCCTATTGCATACTTGGGTGTGTGTGTGTGTGCATATGTGTGTCTATCCTCAGAACTCACATCTCCACAAAACTTAAGACTGCAGAATCTAGCTTAATGAAGGCTTCACATATGCTGATCTACAAAATTCAAATATAGTCTAACTGCTGTATATAAATATAGCTCCAAGCTGTTAACTTTATATAGCAATATGAGATGTCTTTAAAGAAGCAAAGCCCATTTGAAGATACAGGTGGTTAATTTTTAATTGTTAAATTATACAGTGTACTCACCTAGTAGAAGACAATGCTATAGGCTGCAAAAAGAGAGAGAGAAAAAATAGTTTAATAGTTTAAAATGTTATTGCTTCCTCCCATTCAAAATACAAAATCAAAACTCTTGCTTTAAACTGATCATGCATACCATTGATTATACATGCAAATGTTTAACTTCAAGTTAATTAGAAGAAACAGTTAATATGCTTTTTTATTTGTGCAACGCAGAGAAATAAGAACACCTCCCCATGAAATTCGAAACAGTTAAAGGTACTGATTAACAAAGAGATATATATTCGGCTGAATGAACAGCAACATAAATTGACAAAAGCCTTGTTCAGGGAGGGGTGAACAGATGAAAGAAGGAAATTGAGATCACATATATTGGCCCATTCCTAACCTCAAAAATTGCAGCCTACTGGGGCTGAACTTAAAAGGGAAAATATGTTTTGTTTACTAATAGATAAAAACCAATTGTGTCCCAGAAGGTTCCAATTCAGCTGCACTGATACCTGAAGCATTTTGGTTGTTTTGTGTTTCAGCTGAAACAAATTCTAGGGGGCGACCTTAGAGGGCAAGTAGGGCAAGATTG